TTCCTTCCGAGGAGTGGCTGGTGGGTTTGAACCGCCAGCCTTCTGGTTAGCAGTCAAGTGCCTTAGGCACTATGCTACCAGAGATTAAGTGTGAATAAGAGCATCCACATGGTTAAAAATCAGCTAAATTGAAAATCTTATTTCTTCCTCTCTAGTCCAACACCCCTGCAATCCATTTCCACATATATTCCCCATTATAAATTAGCAAAATGTTATAGTTCTTTTGCTGTGTAAATCTTCTCCTTTGTTTAATATTGGAATAGGCTCCTGGCAGATGCTGGGATCTCCCTAGTTAAGGTTTGGAGAGGAGCCCTGAGGAGAATTTGTACCACCTTGCCTGGGAACTAACTCAAATGAGATTATTAAAGGGTCTACAACAAGGCAGTACCAGCCTAGGGGACTACTTCTCATGAGAAGAAAAGCTTAGGGGAAAGTTGAGATACATTAATATTTCCTCCCTTTCAGTTGATGCATTAATCTCACATAAATTCAATCTATATTGTTATTTAGCAACCTACAGAGTTGTTCTCTGTGCCCAGTTTTTCAGCCAAGTGAATCCTACATATACAGGAAATAAGGGGCTTTTTTAGGGCAGCCATAGAAATTCCTGGTTTCCTAACTGTACTTTGAAACAAGGTAGTAAAACTAAACTTGTTGTTTCTTAATTTCCTGCTTAAGTTAAAAGCAGCCAGCTCACCCCACATTTATTTTACTGCTTATATTGTGTTTGACTGCTAACCAGAAGGCTGGCAGTTCAAACCCACTAGCCACTCCTCGGAAGGAAGGTTGGGCAATCTACTTCCGTAGTGACACTACCTCGGAAACCCAAGGAGGGGTCGCTGTGAGTCAGATCCAACTCGATGACAGTGCATTTTATATTGTGTTATATTATCAATCAAAGCCCTTACTCCAGATGACCGAGGTGATCATTAAAATAACTATCTCATCACTGGGTACCCATCTACCAGTGAACCATCCACTAATGGTAATTAGATCTTCTGTCCTCAGACTCAGTTAAATCAAATAGCCTATTCCAGTTTTCCAAGCCTTTGAGCTTGCTTCCTACATGCACTTCTGGTACCCTATTCTTTATTGGTCAAGTTTCAACAACAGGATTCACTCTAGGTAGTTTAAGCAAGAAGAATTTATTAGAGGATGTTGTTGTTAGGTGCCGCCAAGTCAATTCCAACTCATAGCGACCTTGTGTACAACAGAAGGAAACACTGTCCAGTCCTGCACCATCCTCACAATTGTTCCTGTGTTTGAGCCCATTATTGCAGCCACTGTGTCAATCCACCTCATTGAGTGTCTTCCGCTGTTTTGCTGACCCTCTGTATCACCAAGCACGATGTCCTTCTCTGGGAACTGGTCCCTTCTGATAACATGTCCTAAGTATGTGAGACGAAGTCTTGCCATCTGCACTTCAAGGAGCATTCTGGCTGTACTTCTTTCAAGACAGATTTGTTCATTCTCCTGGTAGTTCATGAATATTCCATTTTCTTCACCAACACCACAATTCAGGATTTTAGTTTATAAAATTTTTGAGAATGCCAGAGAACAAAAGTTAGCTGAGCACCTCTTAGGTATCAGGTACTTTTAGGCACTGGGGCTATAGTAATGAACAAGATAAAGTCCCTGCCCGTGTGGAAATAACAGTCTGGTGTCGTCTATTAAGAAGAAGAAGAAGACTTCTAAGTCTCTGAAGTAAAATAAAGCACAGTGAGGAATTTGAGAATGTCTTGGGAAGGGAGTAGAAGGAACAATAAATGGAAAGATTTGGAGGTGTAAATGAGTCTGGTATGTTCAGGAAATAATAGAAACAAATGTGGCTGGGGTAGAATGTCTATGGGGATGTGGTAGGCGACAAAGTTGGAGAGGTAAATAGGTGAGAAATCATTAAGAGCCTTGTAGGCCATAGTAACAGGCTTAGCTTCTATTCTAGGAAAACAAGGGTTTACTGAGAAAGGCTCAGTTCACCTCAGGTGATAATAATGAAATCAAGGTTTCCATATTAAGCTATGTGAGGAACTAAAATAGAGATAGTGGATGTCTTAGTTATCTAATGCTATTAATAAATATACTATAAACAAATTTATTTGTTCACAGTTTAGGAGGCTGCTGTTATTGTTAGATGCCATCGACTCGTCTCTGACTCACAGTGACCCTATGCACAGCAGAACGAAACACCACCTGGTCCTGCACCAGTTCCATGATCCTTGCTACACTTGAGCCCATTGCCACTGCCACCATGTCAATCCATCTCATTGAGGGCCTGTCAAGTCGATTCCAACTCATAGCAATCCCACAGAGCAAAGTAGGACTGCCCCATAGAGTTTCCAAGGCTGTAATCTTTACAGAAACAAACTGCAACATCTTTTTCCAACAGTGTAGAGCAGCTGGTGGGTTCAAATTACTGACTTATCGGTTAGCAGTCACACTGAGCACTTTAATCATCATGCCACCAGGGCTCCTTGAGGGGTATATAATTGCTGTAATTTATACAGACAGTTACGCAACATAGAATACACCCCACAGAAGACAAGTTTCTCAGATCCCCAGTTCCCCAGTGGAAAATACAACTACCCATGATACTTCCCAAAGAGTGAGGATTCTTCCAGGGACAAGAAACTCCCAGCCTTCCATTCCTATGGGGTCTTTGTTCCTCTTGGTCTCCCCTTTGTGTACCTACCTACTCAAGGTGTAAGTTAATTGCTACAAAACTCTAGCACATGCTTGAGTGTTTACTAACCAGCATGAATTGAATGAATTGAAGATCAGTCTTCCAAGTATACCTACCTTCCTGCAAAACCAGTTCTCAGGCCTACCTGAAGTTCATTCCAGCAGAATCAAAGTGTAGCCTGTGCTACACTGTACCACTGGCCTCAAAAATCTGACTCCTGGAACTTACACTAAAAAGATGATTGCACAACTGCAATAGGATGAATGATAGATGTTCATTGAAATATTGTTTAAAGAAGAAAAAAAAGGGATCACTGTTGGTGACTAGTTAAGTAAATTTTGATACATCTGTATAAGGAGATACTCCACAGCCACTAAAATGTATGTGTTCATATTAGTATTTGTACCTCCATGCATAAAATGTTTCTGAAAGGTGGGAGGGAGGGAAGGAGGGAAGAAAGCTGCTGAGAATGAAATGGTGGCTAGAGGGACAGGTAGGAGAGAAAACTCTTCATGAATATACTTTAGTGTTTTAAAATTTTTGAACCACAGGAATGAAATTATTTTAAATAAAATTTACAAAGTAAATGCAGTGAGAGAAAGAGATACCTTGAAGGGACAACCACCAAAATGTTACAGCAATTCTTTTGGGCTATCAAGATTTGCATAGACATTTTTACTCTTTTACTTTTCTATATTGCTTTCTATTGTGATAAGCATATTTATTTTCACAGCTGTAGATATTTTTAATTACAAAAGAAGATTACATATTTGTAATTTTAAAAATAGCAAAACAATTTTTATTAAATTTTGTTTAAAAGAGCATTTATAGAATACCCTTTGCACCATGCTTGTTGGTCATGTCTGGCCCTGCGCGTTGCACCCCCATTCCAGCCCTAGCTCTGGAGCCCCAGCCAAGGAGTCTTCATTTCTTTGTTTATTTTTTCCCTCAGAATTGCTGATGGAGTGATCAAAAGTGTATTATGGCAAACACTTCAAGCTCTTAATTTCTGTCATAAACATAATGTAAGTAACATTTTCTACCGTGTTTACTAATTTCTTCATAATGACCTTTTCTTCTAAATAACTCAGGAGTGTATTTGAAGAACTAAAGGCAGGAAACAAAGTAAGAACTAGAAGAACAAAACAAAAGAAAGTTACAGAATATTAAGAAAAATGATACATGATTCATGACCCTTTTCCTATGTCTATAGGAATCAAGTTACTTAATTTTTTGTAAATTAAAAGTTTGTGTAAACAGTGTTTCCTATTGCCACAGCACTAATGATTATCTGCAATTAGTTTAAAATAATTTTTCAGGATATCAGTAGTGTAATCCACCATGGCTCTTGGTTTTATTTTGTTATTATGCCTCTTAAGTCTTTTATCCTTTTTTTTTTTTAATAGCCTCCTTTCTTCTACCTCCCCCGTGCCCATACCATTAATTTTTTTAGTTCTCAAACTTGAGTGTGCATCAGGATGGCCTGGAGAGCCTGTGAAAACAGTTTGCTGAGCCCCATCTCCAGAGTTCCTGATTCAGGAGGTCTGGGTGTGACCTGAGAATTTGTATTTCTGACATTTTCCCAGATGATGCTGAATGTGCTAGTCCAGGAACCACACTCTGAACACTGTTGTGTTACAGGAATCATTTTGACCGATTGCTTCTTGTTTGTAATTTAATTTGTTGCCCTTCCCTCTGTATTCCTTATATATTGGCATTTGTGTCTAGAGGCCTGATCATATTTAGGTTCAATTTTTTAGACAAGAATGCTTCATAAGTGGTGCTGTAGACTTCCTATTGCATCACATTATGATATGAATATCTGGTTTTCTCACTTTTGATAATGTTAAAATTGATCGGTGGGTTCAGGAGATACTAGTTTAATGTCTTCCATTATAGATATATCTGTCACCATTTTCCCTGATGGTTTTGTCATCCATTGATGATTATTACCTGTATCCATGACTTCATTAGGGTTAAAATGTAGTGATTTTCTAATTCTTATTACTCCTTTTGCATTTATTAATTAGGATTCTGTAGAAAAGATCTTACCCTCATGTACTCTGGTTACTGTCAAATACAAAAAGGTAAATAAGTGATTACTTCCCTTTATATGAGAGTGATGAGTTGGTGTCTTAGTGATTTCCACTGATGAACAATGAAGGTGTTTCGGTGGGCATCATTATAAACTCATGGATTTTTATATTATGTGATGTGTTTGAATATTTTGCAGTCATTGTTCTCTCTAATGCCCACAGTCATTGTTCTCTCTAATGCCCACAGTCATTGTTCTCTCTAATGCCCAAATGGTCCCAACTTAGGCCAGTGGAAGCCTCTTCAAGTTGGCTCCTGGGTGTTTTTGCTATGAGAACAGCTCTTTTTAAAAGCAATTCTAGACCTTCTGAGTTTCATAGATGGACACTGCACAGAGGCAAGGATGCAGATGACAGCATGGTCAGTTTTGATATCAGCAGAATGTCTGTCATAGTGCTCTAGGATTGCTGAAAAGGACAGTACAAGACCATGACACAAAATTTCCATACTTAAGGGAAGCTCTCTTTAGTTTTCAGAAAATTGGTGGTTTTTTTTTTTTTTTTTTTTGTTAGAATAAATGAAAAGCTTTTCCTTTCTATTAAGTATTGAGGGATATTATTCACAAGATATATATGTAAACCTGTTCATGGTAAGTACTTGTGCTTTAAATAATTAACTAAAGATGTTGTTGAATTGAATCTATATCTCTATAGCATGCTTTCCACCATGCTATAGGCATTTGACTGCTAAGCAGAAGGCTGGCAATTCGAACCCACCAGCTGCTCCTTGGAAGGAAGACAGAGCAACCTACTGCCATCAAGATTACTGCCTTGGAAACTTGCGGGGATTGTTATGAGTCTGAATCAACTCAATGGCAGTGGGTTTTCTTCCTGTTTTTGTATAAATGATATTAAAGTTTACCTTAGGAGTTTTAAGGAGCTCTGGTGGCGTAGTAGATAAGGCATTTGGCTGCTAATCAGAAGGTTGGCTATTTAAACCACTGCTGCTCCATGGGAAAAAGATGAGGCAATCCACTTCCATAAAGATTTACAGCCCTGGAAACCCAATGGGGGTCACATGACTTAGAACTGATTCAATGGCAGTGGGTTTGGGTTTTTTGGCTTTAGGATTATGGGTAGTTAAAAAGTTGTGGAGTTTTTTGGTCTATTTCTTTTTTTGGTGAAAATATGCATAATAAAACATACACCCATTCAACATGTTCTCCATGTACAGCTTAATGACAGTGGTTACATTCCTCACATTGTGTCATTATAGGTACCCAGATTGTTTCATCACCATTAACTTAGACTCTCTGTCCCCTAAATTTCTCTGTGTTTTAGAATTACTATTGTCAATTTGATCTTGCATAGCTAATTTTTTAAGAGTACACTGCTCAAGATGAACATTCTTTACTAGTTGTTTTAAACTGTTTAGTTTAAAGACAGCTTTATGGGATAGTTTTGCTTTGGGACTTAAACTGTCTCGGAGTAATAGATTCAAGGATTCCCCCAGTCTCAGTGGAATCAATAAGTCTCGTTTCTATGAGAGTTTTAAATTCTGTTCCACATTTTTCCTCTTTTTGTTGATATCCATCTGTGGTTAAAATGATTTTTTTAAAAAATACTGTTTACCATAAGTGTTTGCATTTTATCCCTAAATAATCAGACACTTTTCTGTGGACTAGATTATAAGCTTGATCATGATATCAGTGGCTAATTTATCTTTATATCTCTATGATGCCCCTTGTGGATCTTTTTATATATAAGGAGCTCAATAAATATTGAATAATTGAATGAATGAATGAATGAATGAATCAGTTAGTCCATCAACCTTCTTACCTCATTGTGACAATTTCTGGTGGATCCAAACATAATTATAGCTCAGTGCAGCTGCCATCATTCCTCTGTTTGGAACAACCATTTTGTATCTTAAGCTTTAGAATATTGAAAACATTCCATTGATAATCTATGACTTCTATTAAAAATGAATAATTTTTCAGGCAAACTTCTCTCTTCCAAGATGGAAATTACTTCTGAACTCTAGTTATCTCATTTTCTTATACTATGGTAAGCCTTTGTGTATCTACCTTTTCATTATATCTGTTAACTAAAATGCGTGCAAAGGGTAAAAATCTAAGTCATATATAAGCTGTTACTATAATACATCTAAAACCTTTATGCTCTCCTTACTTTTAAAGGAACTGTCATGAACTCTCAAAGGATAGAAAAAGCTATCTGATTCAGTGGTGTTGCTCAAGACTCACAACTTGCCACCTGTGGAGATCATGTGCACCTTATTGTCTCCAGAGTCCTGATCCTAGCCAACATTGTTGTTGTTGTGTGCCGTCAAGTCGGCCCCGACTCATAGCGACCCCTCCTTGGGTTTCTGAGGCAGTATCACTACGGAAGTAGGATTGCCCAACCTTCCTTCCAAGGAGTG